CTTCCAACTCAGTCAAGCTGCCTCATTTGGGAGCACTCTAGTTCAGGAAAACACTGAGCACCCAGCTCCGTGGCTGTGGCTGGCAGAAGCAGAGCTTACCTGTGATTCTGCCCACTGTTCCTTTCACGAATTGCCAGCATACCCAGCCACGTGCGCTCCCAGGCTGTAGCCGATCAAGTGAACATTCCCAAGAGAAAAATCATCCTTCCCCTGCAGGAAGCCACCAAAGCGTGTGAGCTGAAGAGTGTGGTCCTGAGTCCCCAGGGTCACCAACAACTCAACAATTCAGTTGGGATGGAGGAGGAGACACAGGAGCCAGGTAAGAAGAGGTCAAAGGACTCAGTGGCACTTCACGTGCCAAGTGCTAGGGCGGGGTGGAGGGTGTGNGCTTTAGAAACAAGAGCAGGCTCCAGTAGGTGTCTAAGATTACAAGCCTGTCCTGGCTCCTGGCCATTCCCAACCAACCAAAGGACATCAGTTTCTAAGATCAGCAAGTAACAACCCGTAAAGGGAATTTTCTCACAGCAAATAAAGCAACTGGAAAAATCCAGAGACCTATCAGTAGTGAAAAGGCTCTCTGAAAGTCCCAGCTTTCAAGTATTTTGAGCAACTTAATTCAGTAAAAATTTTAATCCCAAAGATTTTGATCAAACTCCGGAAGTTGACAGTAACACCAGTGTGACCTGTATTTCTTACGAAGGTTCAGGTCTAAGATCTTGCTTGTGAGAGGAGATGACTCCCTTTCATCCCCAGTTACCTGCAGCCAGTCGAGCATTTTTGCGATGCTGCGTCCCACCACCCTGGTGTTATTGACAGCATCTGTGTAAAGCTGGTGAGCTAAGGGGAGCCAGTCCACCACCACTACATTGGCATCCTTCTCTCTTGTCTGCAGGGCTGACACGAGCTTGTGCAGCCAATTTTCAAGCATGCCGCTCATCTGCCAAGAAAACAGGAAACTTTTTAAAATTCTTTTTCTGGGCCTCAGAAATCCTAATGAATGT